GAGAAAAAGTTTGGGGAGATCATGCTCCTTTTGATAAAGTCTTAACTGCCGTGAAAAATGTTTCTACAAAGAAAGATGATCCTGCTGCTATGACTGCTTTTCAAGAAACTTTGGATAAAGTAATGAAAGGTGAAATCTCATTTAACAAGGTTCTTAATTCAGATCCCAGTTGTACGATTAATGGACCATGTGCTTAAATACCTGATATCATTCATCTTGTTACTGCATTAAGTGGTTATGCTATTTGCTATTTGCTCTTGTGCTTATTATATGTGTTAAAAAAAATTATATACTGCATTACTTTTTTTTTTTATTAATTAAAGCTCAAAAGTGGCAGATGTTTTTTAAATTTTAAAATATGAAAAAGCGTGCTTACAGTGCAATAATATAAAGCATATTTAAAATATGCAGAATTCAAAACACAAGTAAACATTTATATTAGTGAAATTTTTCGTTTGTTAGAATGTTAAGCGTTGATCCTATCAACCAGCCCGACCAATATAACGACAAATATAACTTTTTTGTAAATTTTGATTATATGATATGAGTGCTGCCAAGGCAAAACTTGCAAGTGAAAATTATCATTACGGCGAACTTAACCCTGGGAAAGATGTGATATTACATACTAAATCGTATATGAGTCCTCCAAGGGAAAACCTGCCGTCAGGCTTTTAAAACATCGATCGCGCATATTTGATTCGTACGTACGTAATATTACAATTTTTACAATTTTTTAGGGGTAAGTGATGGCTTAAATATTTACTTAAAGGTTACACTCATTTCAATTAGAGTTAGGATAATATAAATCCTTGATCAAAAAATTGTTTTCGAAAATACATCTCGAATGGTTAATAATGTAAGCCCCATATAATATTACAGTTAGACTACTTGCAAAGAGCTTTTAGCCCATACCATTTTTAACTATTTCTCTAATGGTACTTTACCCTAGAGGTGCGCCTCAATTACGTAACGGCTGTATTATTACATCGCAACCTGTTGTAGCACAATATGTGTGGTTGTAATATATGATGTAGGTTGTAATAAATGTCGTAGGTCGCAATAACTTGTCGTATTTATATATAGCACATTGTAGAGTTGATTAGATCTAGTGTTTCAGGAGAAAATAAAATATCTGTACAAACTTTGATAATTAAGCGCAGTTTTGTAAGCTTCGCGAATAATCTTTATTTCAAAATAAGTAAGATAAAATATATAGTTCAAATCATAACATAAATATAAATTAATAATGAACCAGAGTATATACGAATACTTTGTATAATTGCCGGAAGACTAAAAATTAGAAAGACCGATTTTATATAGTGCAATTACTTAAAGTGAATTAATATATTTAAGCTTACTGAAACTGCCTGAGGGATAGAGTTTATTATTTTCAATATTTTTGGAATTAAATACTGTAATTCCAAATATTGAGTTGTGTCCTTTATAACAATTAAGGAACCGTTTTAGTTACGATATTACACGTCGATTTATTTTGAAATATAAAGTTTTTGATGCGTAAAAACTGATGTGAATTATTTAACAGACAAATTCGCATCCAAATCGATCAATTTTGTTTTGATAAGTGTTATCGAAAGTTGAACTAAAGAGCGAGTTAAGATGCATTTGTAAAACAAAAATATTTTTAAAAACAGCATAATAAAATAATTATACATGTCCATATGTATGTACCATAACACAGATTTAATAATATAGGCACCTATTTCAATAGGAATCTAATTGGCCTGTTTGATCAAACCGGCCAATCAAATTCTTGGTTGAGCCTATTAAGATAGATGCTTAA